ATTTCCTTGCAGATGATCTAGATCACAAAATACCACTTATTCAATTACGTTGTTAATTACTTGTTATTCCTAGTATGATAAATATGTCCTATAATGCATTTATCATTTTTAAGATAATAACGGATTAAGATACGACACGCGTTTGCGCGCTTAAATGTTCCTCTTTATGGAATTTGAGATCATTTTACAGAGTTAAGCTGCAACACTATTTATCCGTCGGTATCAGTTGCCTCTGGCCCAAGGCAGCAGCCCAAACACCTCCACTTTTATCTAAATACATGTTTTTTGCCCAAGTGCTATGTCTTCGGCTATCCATAAAGAAGTTTCGGGGAGCTATGCTGATAAGAGCGAACAACAAACGCGACTTTGAATCGAGTTTGGCCCTGATTCCCTCCGGTAGTGTTGCTGCCCATCTAGTATTTGCAATTTTCTAGCTGCAATAAGTTTCACGCAATGCTAATTGAAATGAGTTGCATGGGCGGGATGTAGAGCAAACTCGCTCACCCACTTGCTTACGGTAATGAGACTTGATTGCAAAGAGGGTGGCAACCATTTGCCCGAAAAAGGCAAAAGCCAGAAGCAGAGCTCCGCTACATTATGTTGTGGCCAATGGCGGGGACGGTGCTTAAAAGAGAGGAGGGGCTGTGCAATATATACTAGTTTGTTTAAGTGGACTTTTATAGGGGAGAGGCGAGAACCAAGTGGGAACGCGAATCACGTGCGCAAAGACGGTGAGAAGTCTTTCTCCAATTGATATCTCCTACTTGTCTCATCTGCATCCCGCTCACCATTCTTCCTAAAACAAATGCCCGATAAATCATCTGCAATTAACTCTCTTGAATTCTGAGGTTCAAGTACCAGAGTGTAGACAGGCAGCTCTTACAAAGTAAATGATGTGGACGTGAAGTACCCCTCCTCAAGCCCATATGAGTGCATGACAGGTGTGTCTGATTTTCTGTGCGTTTATTGGACTACCGGTCCCGTTGGAAGAACTTATATAAAGGATAAAGGAGCTTGCGATGCATGTTCTGGTAAAACTAGCTGTAATACTTTGCTTATGTGATCACCTGATACCCGACCGTTTTTTTAAGATCCGTCTGGCCCCTGTATGCGTGGGCTGCTCTTCCTAGAATACATATATTTATCCCCAATTTATGGCTTCTTTTAAACGGCAGGATGTCTTGGAACGCTACAGAATCCTTACAGATAGGAAAAAGGGATTAAGAACCTCATCCCATACTGGAGAGAATGGTGCGAACATTAACTTACTTTTTTACCGTCCAATAAACTTCTGAAAAAAAACTATCACTTGTGAAAAAGAGGCAAGGTAGGGAAAGGTAAACGGTGGGACTATGCAGTGTTCAGTTTACTTGACCACCTGAATAAGTGGTTACTGTGGCAGCAAAGTCACTTTCGCCAGATGGGCTGACATTTGGGCTTGCATGCTCCATGTAGTTTTAAAAGTATGGATCATTTTTTTAAATGTTTGGCACAGGCAGCAAATGCGAATTCGATAAAACCAACCTCGGCCCAAAAGTAAGCTTGATGGAGTACATGTCTTTGATTATAGTTCATGTTCCACACAGTTGACATGAACCGGTAGAGAAAGATTTAAAATTTATCAGACACCTAACTATAAACCTATACTTAAGAAACAACTACATTTAACGTCTATTGACAGTTGTTTTAGCCATCTCCCCATAAGTCCGCGGTTTTAACAGAAAATTCTGCACGTTTTCTTGACCCTTCATGGATGTGGCTCAAATTATCCTTAATAAATTGGCTGATGTATCTCCCACCAATTCGCAAGAACTGGCTTGTTCATTGAATCTTGATCATCAGGTTATCGTCGGCGGTATCAAGAGTCTGCAGCAGGCCGATGGAGTAGGCTTACCAGACTAACTTATGCTCAATCCAGTTGGTGAAGGTTGAACCAATTGTGGAAACCAGCTTTGCCCTCACTGATGAAGGAGAGTACATTCTTAAGCATGGAAGTCACGAGTTTGTCATCTACTCTGCCATTCCTGATGCTGGCATTCCAATGTCGGATTTAATGGTTGGATATCGTTCTCTTTGTCAATGCCTTTAGGAAATATCGAAGTATGCGAAGCTTGGTGTGAGCAAAGCCCTTGCAGCTAAGTGGATATCCATCACAAGGAGTGACGACAACGAACAAATTGTCAACAAACTTGTAAGGACATTTTTTCTCATATATTAGGATAAACCCACTGGCGATGACGTGCAAGCATGCCTCGAGAAGCTTCAGGACTGCAGCCTAAAGGAGAGAAATGATTTGAAGAAGCGCAAGCTTATTGTGGAAAAGTGATTTGTTTTGCATATTCTATTGCTTCAGGAAAGTCACAGTCTATGTGGTTGAGCGCGGTCCGAATTTTACGACACAGCGTGTTAAAGAGGAAACAGATTTGACCTCAGAAATGGTTGCGACGTAGGATGTTTCATGATTTTAACTCTTGATAGAGGTTCTTGGCAGAATATGTCGTTTAAAAAGTACAACTTCAGATCTCTTGGTATTCCGCCTGAAGGTGGCCACTTACATCCTCTCCTGCGGGTTCGCGCCGAATTCCGCCGGATTCTAATGAATATGGGGTGAGTTGCTTGCTTTTTCGTTTGCTAGTTGGTGCATCCTTGTTGACACGGTTGCTTGATGCTAGGTTTTCGGAAATGTCGACGAATAATTATGTGGAATCTAGCTTCTGGAACTTTGACAGCCTCTTCCAGCCCCAGCAACATCCAGCCCGGGATGCTCATGACACCTTCTTCTTGTCTGGCATGTTATCTTTCCGGCTTTATGCATTTTCAACAAATTAATGCCAAATTAATGATGATAATTGGTGATAAGATATTACGATTAAATCTAATATGTAATTATGACAGTCTGAATTGTCTTCGTGCAACAGTCATGTGCTTCCTTGCTTTGGAAGCCATATTATTGTATCCAAATCGTTGTTCCTTGGGCCATGCGAGATACTTTGAATCACCAGAGCTGTAGGTTAGTCTTATTAATTACCTTCTATCATCTGTTGTTGAATGCATCACATACTTCTCAATTTTTTGAATTCATTTGTGTGCCTTAACCACCAATTTTGTTTAAAAGTTATTTTTGATGTTTAAACACACATAATCCTTGCCGCAAGTTAAGTAGCATTTATAGAGAACGTAATGGGTATGGTATCCCTTATTGCTATCAGTCTATAGAATCGCACATTGCCTAAAAATACTGCTTAGGGGCTGGATCAATACCTGGTCCTTCACTGTCACAATGATGGATTTGATCAGGCATAGCTACCCATATTTTATCGAATATGTGAACGGGTTGGTGGTATTTGTGATCATTGGCAAGAGTTGGCCATTGGATAATTGGGTATCCGAGATGCACAGAAGGTTAATGTCTTCTCCTAATTCCTACGGCCGTTAGATCCTCCAACGACGGACGTGCTGGCCCATTACTCGAAAGACTACGTGGAGCGAGTGAAGCGCATGCATGAGAATGGTGGATGCGGCTCCAAGGGTTACCGCTACGATTGGAAGCTGTCTGAGGCCGCAAAAAATCTTCTTCGTACTCACACTACCGCCGTCAGCGCGCGTATGCTTTACAAATTGGCACAGCAGGTGTGGTGAGCGTTCTCCCTTCTCTTTTCTTCACCTTCTTTCTTTCTGGAAGTGTGAGCAGTTTTCGGATGATGGTGGGTATGGATAGGGAATATTTCACTTTTCATCAGTTTGACCTTGTGGGTCGAAAAGTACAGTGGTTTCTTCACACTCATTGGCCATTTGCACCGTCTAAATGGGTGTCTTTGTCAACTTAAAAACAGTGATTATGGTCATGGAATATGGTCATCGATTGTCCGATGGTTTCTTTGCTGTGTGAAAGCGAGGGTGGAAGAGGATGAAGTGCTGTTTTCTTCGCCCTTTATAAAGACGATCGAACGGACCGGCATTAGTTTCAAGGGTTTAGGGAATGACTGCATGGAGTAGGGTTATAGAATACTCCTTTCTATCACTTCACTGGGAGTTGAGAAGAGCCAGCAGTCCTACGCCTTGTCATTCGCGAAGGCCAAATATTCCTCCATTCTGAACTCACTGTACAATAATGGCAGTTTGGGTTATCGAAGTCGTTAGAAAGCACCACCTTCATTGAAGCTGGCAAACCTGTCGCCACTTTCATAAAGGTTGTAAAAGGCGGATATTTGGTTCGTTTATTAAGTGGTCATCCAATGTCCTTGCAAGGAGACGGCATTACTATGGACGTGTAACATGTCGCCTGGGTAGATCTTCACGGACTTGTCGAAAAGCTAAAACCAAGAGGAATTGAAATTGTGTTTCTTATCACTCGACTAACTGCTTCTGGCCTTCCTTGAAGCATCTGTTCCCATGGTATTGGTCATCAATGGAGCTATTTGAATTAATATGTACACGTTCATTACTAACGCCAGCTATTCAGGGAGTTTCTTGGCCCCATA